AGAGTGGACAGACATTGCTGACCATGCAGGAATTCAGGAGAGACCTCAGAAGGGCCACACTTTAGTAGGAGGGGTCAATTATTCTTTAGATTAAAAGCCACTCTAGACTCACCTTAACGGAACTTAAAAACAAGGCTCACAAGGATCAAACTGAACCACAAGTAACTCAACTGCCTACCACAACAAAGCTCAACCCTCTTAAAAGGAAGAAAAAAAAAAATTCAGCTACCCAACAACATAAAATTCACTATGTCTAGTATCCAATAAAAAATCACTAGTCATGCCACGAAGCAGGAAATGTGACCTATAACCAAGGAGAAAAGTCAATTAGGGGCTGGCCCCGTGGCCAAGTGGTTAAGTTTGTGTGCTCTGCTTCGGTGGCCCAGGGTTTCTCTGGTTCGAATCCTGGGCGCGGACGTGGCACCGCTCGTCAGGCCATCCTGAGGCAGCGTCCCACATGCCACAACTAGAAGGACCCACAACTAAAAGAAAATACACAACTATGTATCGCGGGGCTTTGGGGAGAAAAAGGAAAAATAAAATCTTTAAAAAAAAAAGTCAATTAGTAGAAGCAGACCCAGAAGTGACAGAGATGATGGACTTAGAAGATGAGGAAAACACAAATATAATAATGAAAGAAATGGAAGATATGAGAAAGAACCAAATGGAGCATCTAGAGATGAAAAGTACAGTATTTTAAATGAGAAATTTGCTGCATGGAATTAACAGTATATTTGATGCTGCAGGAAAAAAGGTCAGTTGAACTTGAAGATAGAGCAAAAGAAACTAGACAAAATGAAGCCTAGAGAGAAAAAAACCTGGGGGGAAAATATAAGAGAACAGCACAGAGCCTTGGTGACCTGTGGGACCATATTAAGGGGTCTAACAGATCACTAATTGGAATCCTAGAAGGTGGAGGGTGTAGGCAAACAATAAAGATGCATTCTGGGGGCCGGCCCTGTGGCCAAGTGGCTAAGTTAGCGCACTCCACTTAGGTGGCCCGGAGTGTCGCCGGTTCAGATCCCAGGCACGGACATGATACCTCTCGTCAGGCCATGCTGTGGCGGCGTCCCACGTAGCACAACCAGAGACACTCACAACTAGAATATACAGCTATGTACTGGGAGGCTTTGGGGAGAAGAAAGAAAGAAAAAAAAAACCCCCACAAACTGGCCACAGATGTTAGCTCAGGTGCCAATCTTAAAAAAAAAAAAAAAGATCCATTCTAATGATTAGGATTTCTCCTCTAAAAAGCATCAGTCCTGCCCCCAAAGCCTTTGTATATTTCTTATGATATTAACTATACGCCTATTGGATGTAAAGTACGTAAATTACTGAGAGTCATTTTGCCCCTGTAGCCTAGAGTTGAGAATATGGGTTCATATCATAATCCAAATATTCTTTCCCTCAAGTATTTTTTGAATTCTCAGAAAATGAGGGGATATATCCAACAACTCCTACTGAGATGAACAAGTGTGGTAAACTTGTAACTCTGTATTACATGTGGTAGTTTCCTGCCAAGTGCTGCCTGATGTTACCCCCTTTCTCACCTCCACTCCATACTCAGGCCCCTTACTCCTGATCCCTACGCCATGGGGACCAGCAATGGAGTAAGGCTCAGAGACAAGCTAACAAATCTTTGTTTCACATATTTATTGACAATATTTTTTTAAAGTTGGAAGTTTAATAGATTGTTTCTTACAGTGTCACCACATCAGAAGTGTTGCATCAGGGCTGGCCCCATGGTCGAGCGGTTAAGTTCACACACTCTGCTGCTGGCGGCCCAGGGTTTCACTGGTTCAAATCCTGGGCACGGACGTGGCACTGCTCATCAGGTCATGCTGAGGCAGCGTCCCACATGCCACAACTAGAAGGACCCACAACTAAAATATACAACTATGTTCTGGAGGGCTTGGGGGAGAAAAAAGGAAAAAATAAAATCTTTAAAAAATATATATATTAAAAAAAAGGGGCCGGCCTGGTGGTGCAGCGGTTAAGTTCGCATGTTCTGCTTCTCGGTGGCCCAGGGTTCACCGGTTCGGATCCCGGGTGTGGACATGGCACTGCTTGGCATGCCATGCTGTGGTAGGTGTCCCACATGTAAAGTGGAGGAAGATGGGCATGGATGCTAGCTCAGGGCCAGTCTTCCTCAGCAAAAAGAGGAGGATTGGCAGTAGTTAGCTCAGGGCTAATCTTCCTCAAAAAAAAAAAAGTGTTGCATCAAAACACCAGCTGCCACCAGGAAAAGATAGTATTATGGAAGCTATAGAAAAGCAATGTTTAAAAATTCTGGGGTCGGGGCTGGCCCCTGTGGCCTAGTGGTTAAGTTCGCGCACTCCGCTGCAGGCGGCCCAGTGTTTCGTTCGTTCGAATCCTGGGCGCGGACATGGCACTGCTCGTCAAACCACGCTGAGGCGGCGTCCCACATGCCACAACTAGAAGGACCCACAACCAAGAATATACCACTATGTACTGGGGGGCTTTGGGGAGAAAAAGGAAAAAATAAAATCTTAAAAAAAAAAAAAAACTCTGGGGTGGTCACAGTGTCCCCTGCTGATGTGCACATTAGATTAAGCCGCAAGGCAGTGACCCTGGCAAGAGCTCTCCACAGAGTGGTGGGAACAGAAGCCAGATTTCAGTGGTGTGAACGGTGTTAGGAAGGGAAAAGGTAAGTGAGGATGGACAAACCCTCCAAGGAGTCTTCTTGTAAAGGAGACGTGAAATAGGGGATGGGAACTGGAAGGCGGCAGGCCGTTGAGCAAGAGACTCCTTAAAATAGGAGAAACTCAGGAGGGTTGAAGTCCCTTCTTAGAAGCCAAATCCACACTCCACCTCTGGACAATGGGAGCTCCAGGGCCTCAGGTCTGTTTGTTGTGATGAACCCGAATTTGGTTCCTCTGAAGACCCCAAAGCATGCTGCACATCCAGTGAGAAGAAGTGGGCCCCTCCAATAAAGGAAGGTGAGTGCCATTAAACTAAACTAAATATGTGGCAATGCATCCCTTGAACGACTCCCAGGGTGCTATGGAAGGTGGGCATGTGGAGGAGAGCCCTGGTGGGCGGGGAGGGGCTCTGTGAAGGTAGAACTAGGGCAGGGTAAGCCTGGAGACTGCGTTGCCTCAATCTCTGCCCAAAACGGCCAGCCACCTGGGGCTTCCCCAGCCACTTGGCTGCTTCCTGCTGGAAAGAGCAGAGAGTGGGAGAAGAACTGCCACGTGGCCCCTTTGGACAATTGCCATGGCAACTCTAGACCGGGTATTTGATTTTGGCCATTGCCTGGGAGCAGTCCTCCCACATGTGCTGTTTTCCAATAGTATAAGCTCATTATTGTACAGCTTTCCCCCGCCTTGATCTCGCAAAACAAGTTTCTTTAGCTAGTGTCTTTCCCCTCTGCCTGGAAGAATTTACCCTGAGGTGTCTGAAACATGAAACTTTTCATGCAAGTGCACAACACTCTGAAATTGAAACTGAATCAGAAAGAGAAGGTGCTGGCAGTAGTGAAGGGCAGTGGAGGTACCCTGTAAGGTCAGAGCAGATACAGGCCAAGAAAGCTCTCCTCTCCTGATCCAGCTCCAGGGCATCTCCCCACCCTCCTCGAATGGGCCCAGGATGCCGCAGGGGACATGCACCAAATTGACACATGACCCAGTGAGCTTCACAAGACAGCCCAGGCCACATGCATCACTCTTCCCCGCCCCCAACCACAGGGCAGCTGACACAGCCCTTGCCTGGAAGAATCTCAGGCCCTCGCTGCCCCAAAAAGAAAAGAGAGGACCTGAGTTGAGAAGGAGGAGAAACAAGGACCATGGTATGTGGACAAGGAGGACTCCTGGTCTCTGGCTTGGTACAGTGATTCTCAGCTGGCCACACGCTAGAATCAACTGCGGAGCTTATAAAAAAGACCAGCGCCTGGGCCCTATCCTAGTAGATATAAAGTCAGCGGAGGTGCAGCCGGGGCATCGGGTTTTTCTGAAGTACTTCGGGGGTGGAGAACCGCTAGCTGCTCCAATAAGTGCTCAGGCTCTGCCAGCACAGCCCCAGCTCCTAGTTATGTGACCTTGGGCTAGTTCCTCCACATCTCTAAGGCTCCACTTCCTCCATGGTAAAGCAGTACCTACCTAATGGAGTTGTGGGATGGGCTGAATGAGATAGTGCGTGTCCAGAGCTGGGCACTGGGCCTAGCACAGAGTTAAGTGCTCAAAATGTAATTCTTGTTGAAGCAACAGTTGTTACTATCTAGGACCCCAACTTGGAGGTATCGAAGTAAGAAAATGCCACTTTCCGTGACAAGGGGCCAAGACCCATCCTTTTCCCAGGTTAGGGTTGAGGGGGGGTCAGTCAGGGCTGGGGCCAAGGCTGGGTCAGGCGCTGGTGTTAGCCTCACTGTTGGTTACTCTGATGTTCTCTTGGGCTCTGTCCATTCTGAGATGATGGAAATGTTCTACAGCTGTCCTGACAATATGGTAGCCACTAGCCACATGGGGCTGCGGGGCGCTTGAAATGTGTCTAGTGTGACTGAGGAACTGGACTTTCAGTTTTATTTGATTTTTATTAATTTAAATAGCTACACACCGCTAATAGCTACAGTCGTGGACACTGCAGCTCTCGACCGCATGTGTGCTGAGGATGAGAGTAAATAAAGATATAAAACGAAGAAAAATAGCCCTTCTACTGTCTCATTTGAGCATCAAAAAGTCCTACGAAGGAGATATGACAGGCACCGACAGCCCCGTTTTATAGATTAGGAAACTAAGTCTCAGGGATGTTGAAAGACCTGCCCCAGATTAGGAACAGTTAGAGGCAGAGCCTAGACCAGAGGGAGGCAGATTTCTGGGCTGCAAAGCCATGCCTCACCTGTTGGGAAAAGCTTTCTGTGGGAGCATCTCACATCAGCCCTCCAGCAACTCCTGAGGTCTCCAGGCAGGCTTTCTCCCAGCCATCTGCCCGGGCCCCAGGCACCATGTTGTCACCCCCCGACCCCCACCCCTGGTGCTACCCACCTGGAAGAGTTCCTGAACCTGTGCATCCACCCACTGCTCCATCTCCAGCCAGCGCTGGAGTTGCCCCCGGTCGTACTTCACCGTCAGCCGGCTGGGTCTCCGGGACCTGGGCACTTTGGAGAGGTCGGTGTGGGACTTTGACTCTGAGTCTGTGGATGACGTCCTCCTCCTCCCAGAAGCCCACTGGACCTTCTTACTTGAGTTCTCCCTGTCTGGGTTGGGAGATGTGCAGGAAGTGGGGCTTGAAGACAGCATGGAAGGATCGGCCTGGGCAAGGAGCCGGGAAAAACTGCCAGTCAGAGCAAGGGTGCCAGGGAAGTGAGGAGACGGAGAACAGAGGGAGAGGCCAGCAGAGAAGAAAGGAAGGCGGGAGGGAGGGAGGCCCAAGGCTCCAGGAAGGGCCGGGGTCAAAGATCAACAGGCCTTTGTCTGGTGCTGGGAATGCCAGTCTCCTGGCTCCCTGCTGCCAGTTAGTGGCACTCCTGAGCAGTGCCCCAGCCTCCCTTCCTGCAGCCACTGGGGCCCAGAGTGATATAAACTGCAGTCGAACAAAGGTCAAGTGGGTGCCGTGCCTCGGGAGGAAGAAAGGGCCCTTGTATCCTGAGGGGTGTGGGGCTCTGACGGGCGCTCTATGGCCGGCTCTGGAACAAGACCTAAGTCACACTCACCTGAGAGCCTCAGCATCCCACCTTCCTGGGCCCTAAGCAGCAGCAGTCAGACGGATCCAGCAGGAGCAGAGTCCCTGGCCGGCAGGGGCTCCTGTTGGGAGTATGTTGCTGCTGGGGGCAGAGTCTCGCCAGGGATGGTTAGAGGAGGGGTTATCTCTGGCTCCTGTGGGGTCAGTACCCTCTTGTCGGGGGGTGTGTCTGAATGTGAGCTGCCTTTGGGAATATGTGAGGGCAGAGGGGCTCCTCTGTCAGCTGGCGCTGTGCACTCGTGGAGGAAATTTATCCAGCTCGTCTACCATGCCAGGCCCCCAGAAGCGACTGCTTAGGAAGCCATGTTTATCGTCACATGACCCTCCTCTCACTCAAGTGCTTCCTGACAAAGAGGAAACCTGCAGATCTAACTTACACCCAGGAGTCAGGACTAATACTTTTAGCCATACTCGCATTCTAAAGGAAGGGTATTTTTGCTTATTTAGTAGTCCTTTGTAACAAAAATTTCTAAACTTTTAAAAAAATTTACAGGAGAGCACTATAATTTTTTTTTAATGGACAGCTCAGAAAGACAAATGAAAAGCGAAAGTTTCTCTCCTCTCCCCATCTTCCCATCAACAGCTCGCTTTTAGTTCTCTGTAATCACCATTATCGCTTTATGTAATATCATAAATTTGTCCATTTTAGACAGTCTCTCTCATTCCCTCAATACGAAGGATGAGAAATTAACTCCCTCATCTCCTTTACTTTCCATGTTCCAATTTTTGTTTATATATTTCTTTTTAGGTCTTGTGGTGTCGCCTTTAAGATGCTGAGTTTCTGTTTCCAACGTATTGACATCAACCATGACACACGGACTCCTAAAAGAGAGCTTTAGACAAAGGCTGCTAGATGAGTCTTTAACGATGAAATTTTGGGGCCCTACGTACGTTATCAGGGTGGGGGAGGTGTTTGAGGGCTGGAGGCCGGGATGGTAGCCTGGAAAAGCCCAGGCTCTGCAGGAAGGCTGACAGATCTGAGTTCACACTCAGTTTTGTCCTGCCTTGGTTTTATAACCTTCAAGCTTTACAACTTCTTTGAGTCTGTTTTCTCCCCTGCAAAATGGGGTTTGGGGAGGATTAAATGAGATGATGTATGTAAACATTTAGCAGGGTGTCCAAAACACAGTCCCTTCTCAGTAGATATCCATCCTCTTCCTTTCTTCGCCTTCCCATTCTCCCTGACTTCCGGGGGGAGGGGGTCTGTCCCCCAAAGACTGGCCCTGGGATTTCTCTGCAGTGGCTTCCTTCTCAGCCCTCTTTGGAAGAGGGTGGAGATGAGCCAGAGTAGCGAGGCCTCTAAAACACAGCCAGTAGACTCAGCTCTTACTTCGAGCCTGTGATGGCAGGCATTATTATGATAGTCTCCTCCCTCTTCTGTTTCCTGTCTTTGGAAGGGTTTGGGAGCCCTTTCGGAAAAGGAACTAGTTCAGAAGAGTCACTGGGTTTTTTTCCACTCATTAACTCATTCATTAACAAAGATTTTATGAGCTCCTCTAGCAGGCCAAGCATTATGCTCAATACTGGGGATTGGCGGTCCCTGCCTTCATGAGCTTACAGTCTAGTGTGAAAATAAACAAATATTTAGTCAACTAATCAAATAAATGTGAAATTACCACTATATTTCGTGATCTGAAGAAAAGGTAAGAGGTGCTACGAGAATGTCTAGTGAGGGTGTGACCTAGTAAATGGTAACATCTGAACTGAGTTCTGAAGGACGAGTAGGAGGCACAAGGCCAGCAGAAGTGGATCTAACAAAAGGTAGAGCATATGTAAAAGCCCTGTGGCAGGAGGGAGACAGCGAGTACAACGGACTAGGAACAGAGAGAGGAGGGAGAGAAAAGTGAGCCATGAGGCAGAAGGGATGGAGGTATACACACAAGGCCCTCTGAACCATGTTGAGGAGTTTTGCCTCCATCCTAAGACCACTGGGAATCACTGAAGAGTCTTAAGCAATGGTGGTTGCTCAGGCTGACATGTTCAGATTTAAATTTCCAAACATCCCCCTGGCTGTTGAATAGATCAGAGGGTGCAGAAGGCCTGGAAGAGACCAGCTGGGAGGCCACTGCTGCAGGGGTTGACCAGGGAGGCAGTGCTGTCAACATCGAGAAGTGGACAGACTGGAGAGCTAATCAGGGAGTAATATTTAATAGAACTTGGTGATAGATTAGGGGTACATAATATGCAAACTTCATGGATGCCTACACAGGGACACAGACAGGTTCATGCACAGAGCCTCTCTGATCCTGTTTCCTCATCTGTAAATGAGGGGTTGGTGAGATTCTGCATGAGCATGCAGCATGGCCTGGTGAAGCTCGATGGCACACAAATGAGTTATGTCCGTTATTTATAGTGTGAGGTTCCTTATTTACATTCTTCCATCTCAGCATTGACACACGTCTCAGTGGCCTAGGTGTGTCATGTGTCACCATTCCTCAATAAGTTTGCCCAAGATAAGGGAACTCAAGACCCAAGATAAGATAGGAAGAGAAAACCACCAGGACCACAAGGCTGCATCAGGGCAGGGAAACAAAGAGGATGCGGGCCTGGGCAGAGGCGAGGGTGTCTGCCCTGCTCTCCTGTCCTGGCCTGGGTCCAGTAGTGGGATAAATGGGCAGCAGGCACAACCCATCAGAACTAGGCTGTTCTTTTTCTGTTTGGTGAGGAAGATTGGCCCTGAGCTAACATCTGTGCCAATCTTCCTCTATTTTTTGTATGTGGGATGCCTCCACTGCATGGCTTGATGAGCAGTGTGTTGGTCTGCGCCTAGGATCCGAACCCGTGAACCCAGCTGAAGAAGCAGAGCACGTGAAATTAACCACTATGCCACCAGGCTGGCCCCAATTGTGAGTATTTTTGACATTAGGAGACTTCTTCAAAAATGCCCCTTTGAGGGCTGCAGCAGTATCTGAGAGGAACTGTCTCCTTTAAATAAAGATTGAACTAATGACAGTGACCTCACCTTGAAAAATATTGCATTACTTTCCCCAAAATTCATTATCAAAAATGCTCAGTTCTGTTCTATCAGTGGAATTAGTGGGCTCTTACTTAGACCATTAAAACTAAAAATTATTGGGGCCAGCCCCGTGGCCGAGCGGTTGAGTTTGTGCGCTCTGCTTTGGCAGCCCAGGGTTTCGCTGGTTCGAATCCTGGGCACGGACATGGCACCATTCATCAAGCCATGCTGAAGCAGCATCCCACATGCCACAACCAGAAGGACCCACAACTAAAAATACACAACTATGTACCAGGGGGCTTTGGGAGAAAAAGGAAAAATAAAATCTCATCTTAAAAAAAAACCCTAAAATTTATTGATTTACGATTATTAGATCATTAAAACTAAAATTTATTCTGTAATTATATTATCCTTCTGTTTCAGTTATCATTGCCACAATGTTTCAGTTATTATTGCCACATAACAAACCACCCGACATTAAAGCCTTAAAACAAACACAGTCATTTATTTGCTCACGATTCTGCAACTTGGGCAGACTTGGCAGATGCAGCTAGTTCCTGCTGGGGGGGACTCGACAGAGCTAAGGATGCAAGATGGCTTCACGCAGTGCCTCAGCTGCGGTGGCTGGGAGACAGCTGGACCCCTTTCTCTCCCTTCATAGTCTCGCATCCTCCAGGGTCTTGCTCTTTTCAGGTGGCCTGTCTTTCCTGCGAGGAGTCACATTTTTTTACATCACAACTGGTTCTATGAGGGAAAAATGGAAGCCACAAGGCTGAGATCTGGAAGTCATGTGGCACCACTCCTGCTTTGTCCTATTGGTTAAAGCAAGTGACAGTCAAAGGGAAGGGAAAGAAAGATACCACCTCTTGGTGGGAGGAGCAGGCTGCACATACAGGAAGGGGAGGTCTGGTCCACCATCTTCTGCAGAGAATCCACCACAGCTACCCATAGAAACCACCATATCACTGTCTGAGACAAGGCACTCAGTGTTCTTTTTCTTTCTTTTTCAGAATTTTATATAAATACACACATATATATATGTGTATATATATATTGTTTTTCTTTTTTTTGGCTGGGAAAGATTCACCCTGAGCTAACTTCTGTTGCCAGTCTTTCTCTCACTTTGTTTTCTCCTCAAAGCCTCAGTCCCTAGTTGTATATTCTAGTTGTAAGTCTGTTTAGTTCTTCTATGTGAGCTGCTGCCACAGCATGGCTACTGACAGACAAGTGGTGTGGTTCTGTGCCCAGGAACTGAACCTAGGCTGCCAAAGGAGAGCGTGCTAAACTTTAACCACTGGGCCATTAGGGCTGGCTCAGTGTTCCTTTTCTTTTTTTTCTTTCTTTCTTTTTTCTTTTTGAGGAAGATTGGCCCTGAGCTAACATCTGTGCCAATATTCCTCTATTTTATGGGGGATGCCACCACAGCGTGGCTTGACGTGCAGTGCTAGGTCCGCGCCAGGATCGAACCTATGGACCCTGGGCCCCGGAAGTAGAGTGTGTGAACTTAACCATTAGGCCACCTGGCCAGCCCCTCAGTGTTCCTTTCCTAGTAGTAGTGTTAAGGACTGAATATTCTCACCAAACCACCCACTCCTCAGAGCAATGGTCAGTACCGGTGCTCTGGCAAATGGGAATGAAGGCTAGTGTAAACCCAGGCCTTCTCTCCCCAAATTCACAGAGAGAGGGTGAGCCACATGGTCTAACAAAAGAACAAACTCATCCAGACAGCTCTCCTTGGGCCTGCAATATAGAATTAGAAAACAATATCATCTGGAAACGCTTTGCAGGGAGGCAGGTCAGAATCACAGAAAGGGCCCAAGATTGGCAGTCAAGAGACCTGAGGGGCTGGCCCAGTGGCGCAGCGGTTAAGTTCACACATTCCACTTCTCAGCGGCCCAGGGTTCATCAGTTCAGATCCCGGGTGCTGACATGGCACTGCTTGGCACACCATGCTGTGGTAGGCGTCCCACATATAAAGTAGAGGAAGATGGGCACGGATGTCAGCTCAGGGCCAGCCTTCCTCAACAAAAAGAAGAGGATTGGCAGCAGTTAGCTCAGGGCTAATCTTCCTCAAAAAAAAAAAAAAAAAGAAAAGAGAGAGACCTGAAATCTGGGCTGGCCTCTGCCACTAGCTCTGTGTCTCTGAACAAATCAAGAACAAATCTCAGCCTCACTAGGAAGAAGGGCTTTAACTAAGGCCCACGATAGCTCTGCCACTCTCTGCCTCTCCACATACTGAACTTTATGAGTCCATCCAGGTAACACTGCCAGAGGGGTTCTTGGGGGTCACTAGGGTCTGAACAGGTGAAGGGCAGATGAAGGCAGGACTGGAGGAGGGAACCTTGTGCAGGGTGGCTTGTGCAGGGTGGCTGGGAGTCTATCTGGAAGCTGGCATAGAACCCAGAACAAGGGCAGCCGTGGCAATAGACAAGAAGGGATGGACATGAGTGACTACCAGGGAAAACTGTCAGGACCCAGGGACTGGCTGGACGGTTGCAGAGAAAGCCCACGGACAGGCAGTGGGCACCGGTAACTCCAAAGTGACTGGGATGATGAGACCAGGAGGGAATGTGGACAGAGTGATTTGGGGCTAAATATAACGAATGCAAAGGTTGTCAGGATGTATTTCTCTCTTCACTATGGAAGCATTCCATGCTCACTAAAGGGCACTTGGAAAATAATTTAAAAACAAGAAAGAAGAAATATTATCCCATATTCCCACCATTCAAATGCCGTCACTTTCACCACTTTGTTGCACTATCTTAGTCCTCTCCCTGTTATGCGTAGTTTGTTTTTTAGTATGTAAGAAGCAACATGAGGTAGTGGGAAAAGTGTAGTTTTTGATGTAAGAGAGACTTGGGATAAGGTTTTGGCTCTGTCACTTTTTTCAGGCAAAAATTCATCGAGCACTCATGGTCTCAAATGCTTTATCTGTGTTAACTCATTGATTCCTCATAACAACCCTATGGAGCCATATTTCATTTACAAAGAGGCTAAATAACTCGCCGAAGGCCACACCAACGATAAGCGGCAGATGAGAGAGCTAAACCCAGTAGTCTGAGCCAGAAGGCCACAAGCTCAACCCTTATACAGCCTTGGCTCCCACTCTTCCCTGAATGACCTTGATGGCGTTAGTAAACTTGTGCAAAGTAGAAACTATTCTCAGAGTTGTCGTGGGCATTAGCAATTATATATGTCAAGTGTCTGGCACGCAGTAAGCATCTCAACTAATGGCGGCGGCTCACCACTTGAAAATGAGTTTTTGTTTCAGGCAAGTTGAATCTGAGGTGAGGGTGGAACTTCTGGCTGAAGTTAGAATTGCGAGTCTGGCAAAGCCCGGGGTTTAGGTGCAGAAGCAATGGAATTGGCCTGCCTGGGCTCCAACCCCTGCTCTGCCACCTAACTGCCACATGACCCGACAGGTAAGTTCACCTGTCTGAGCCTGTTTGCTCATCTGTAAAGTGAGGATAAAAATAGTACCTACTTTCTTGGTTTGTTTTGAGTATACAAGGCAATGTACGTGAAGTGCTTAGGAACAGGGTTTGGGCATTGTCAATGCTTGATAAATGTAGGTTTTTGTAACAGTGTGTACCATGGATGTAATGATAAATCTGTGATAATGTAAGATTACAAGAAGGTAAGCATCTCCTGTGTTAGCATTTCTGTGCAAATAAGGTATCAGAGGAGGCAGGAATCAAATCAAACAAAACCCTTTCTTTCCAGTAAGTGCACGACCGTTTGCTTCATTCCCAGCAAACCATCTTTGCCCTGTGTCCAGCACTGTGCCAGGGGCTCTGGAAAAATCCAGAAAATCCAGAGAAAGGGAGACAGACCCCAGATTCCCATCCCTGACACCCACAATGTAGGCAGCTGGCAGATGTTTCAGTTCAGCCAGGAAAGTGACCGAAAGTTTGGCTATGGGACCCAGCAGGTCAAGCCGTTCTAAATGAGAAATTAGGACGAACGTTCCCATTGGGCAGGGGTTTAAGTCATCACAAAAAGGGGTGGAATCTCTTATTTCGTGAGGGCATTAATAAGAGCAATCTTGCTCTGGAGGGAAAGATCTTTAAGAGTTCTTCACTCAGGAGCAGCAGTGAGGGTGGCATCAAGGAGTCCACGGTTCCGTGAAGGTCATTCATTAACTCTGCTACTTTGATGAGTTGGAACCTCTAAGCTTCCAAGGATGGCATTTCACTGGAAGAGAGTGGCCAGCTCTTAACCAGGAGCACATGGGTGAGAGAGAAGAGGGAACCTGTGTTCCAGGGGAGACAGCAGCAGCTAACAGGGCGCTAAGGATGCTAATGAGCGCCAACAGGGACTTAGCTCCGACGGGGCCCGGAACCTAAACGTTAGTACAAGAGGAGGGAAGGCCTCAAACAAAAGGGAAGCACTGCGAATCAAGCTGGGAAATGGGACGCGGGAAATGGCCTCAGCTTCTCACTCAGGCAGAAAGGAGGGCTTCCTGGAGCTGGCAAGGGCGGGGACGCTGGAGCAGGCATCCCGGATTCCACTTATCAAAGGTGCAGCCACACAGCTTCTAGGATCTCTTCCGGCCACGAGATGGAAATGTTTCCCGAGGGCTGACGCCGACGGCGAGATCGTTTGCATCGGGCTTTCCCCCAAGTCTCCTCCCCCAGCCCCTTCACCAGCGCCTCAGGCATGGGGCTGGAAACGCGGGCCGGACCAGAAAGGAAGGCAGGAAGCAACCCGCCAGATCGCCCGACCCTCACGTGCCCGACGTCGAGGGAGCTTCCCGGCCGGGTCCGGGCCTCCGAGGTCGGCGAGCACTTCTGGGGCGCGGGGCCTCCCTGCGAGGCTGGACTCGGTGGAGCCTGCGGACAGCAGCCTGGAGGGGTGCGCCCCGGTGCCGGTCGCCCCAGGGCCTCAGAGCCCCCTTGGGGACCCAACCGCAGGGGAGTGGGGATGGCGGGCTGGGCAGTCCGGAAGCTCGCCAGGGCGGGGCGGCCGAGGCGCACCGGGCATGGGCGGGGCCAGCGGCACTAGGGTTAACGTCCGCCCCGCCCCGACAGCGCTGACTCAGTTTCACCAGAAACTAGGAGGAGGAGGTGGCCGATCCAGCGCACCGGGCAGCGGGGCGGAAGCGGCGGGCCGAGCCGCGCAGGAAGGCGGGACCGGAACCTCGGCAGGCCCGGCCCCACCCCACTCACCTGCGCAGGTAACCCGGGCCCGGCGCGCGCCAAGGCGGAGGCAGAGCCGGACGGAGCATGTTTGGCCCTTTGTTTTGCGCCCGCGCGTGCGTCCAGGTACGCGAGCTCCTCAGCCGGCAGTCGGGCCGTCCGTGGGTGGCGGGGCTGGGGGTCACCCCAGTGCGCGAGGGAGGGCTGGGCGCGCGTGCGCCTCTCCCTCTTTGGGTGTTCGGTGCTCCCCTCCCTCCTCTGCACTTCCTCCCGGCCCGCCCGCCTCCTTTGAAGTCTCCCCAGCTGATAAGGTGTGTCTCCTCCTCCGTCCCCTCCCCTCTTTCAGGTCTCAAGCACCCTTGGGGCCCAGAGGCCCGCACTGTGAAGGTGACCCCCGTGGGGAGGAGGGCGACGGCCCCTGGGAGGATGATGGCCGGCGCCCACCTCTCCCAGGCCCTCATCCCAGCGGTCCTGGTTTGGCTCCTGTGCGAGCTCGGCCTCCGGGGCACCCAGGCCGGGCAGCCGCCCGAGCCCCCTGGGCTGCCCGCGGGACCCGCCTGCCTGGACCGCTTCACCGCCGGGGTGCCTGACTTCGTGCTCGACACCGAGGCCTCGGTCAGCAACGGGGCCACTTTCCTGGGCTCCCCGACCGTCCGCCGCGGCTGGGACTGCGTACGCGCCTGCTGCACCACCCAGAACTGCAACTTGGCGCTGGTGGAGCTGCACTCCGACGGCGGGGAGGACGCCATCGCCACCTGCTTCCTCATGGACTGCCTCTACGAGCAGAACTTCGTGTGCAAGTTCGCGCCCAGGGAGGGCTTCATCAACTACCTCACGCGGGAGGTTTACCGCTCCTACCGCGAGCTGCGGACCCAGGGCTTTGGAGGTAAGGAGGAGGGTGCTGGGATGGTTGCATTTGGAGAGACTAAGAAAGGGCGCTGGTGATGGAGTCCTGGGGGAGGCGAGCATCAGAAAGGAGTTAAGGGGCCCGCGTAGTGGTTAAGTTCGCGCGATCCGCTTGGGCGGCCCAGAGTTCGCCAGTTCCGATCCTGGGCACGGACCTAGCGCCGCTCCTCAAGCCATGTTGAGGCGGCGTCCCACATAGAAGACTAGAAAGACGTACAACTAGGGTATGCAACTATGTACTGCGGCTTTGGGGAAAGAAAAAAAAGAAGATTGGCAACAGATGTGCGCTCAGAGCCAATCTTCCTCCCCCCCCCCAAAAAATAATTATGTATATTAAAAAGAAAAAAAGAAAGGAGTTAAGGAGAGTCCATTCTACCCCAGCTCCTCCTTAGAAGTGGGTAGTATAAACAGTAAACAGACGGGCTACTGAGTGGGGAGGGGCAACATCCAAGAGCCGGGACTCTGGCTCAGGAATTCAGGATGCTGAGTGGGCTGATGCTCTAGGGTGTGTGTGTGGAAGAGAGGAGGCAGCTCCTCAGGATTCCCGATGTCTGGCCCTACTTTGCTGAGTCAGGGAGTGAGCTGTCTGGAGGCTGCCTGGTGAGCAGATAGGCCCCTCTGGCCAAGCACTGGCCTGGACACCTTGAGGCCTTATCCAGTGAGCCCGGTGAAGGGTAGTCTCCTGTGCTGTTGGGCTTGGGATGGGTTAGCATCTCTGTGCACCCCGCCCCCCAACATACTGCCCTTTTGGTGGGCTGGGGAAAACTGCCAGACCCCAGAGACTAAAGAACAAGCCCAAGAATGAGGGTGACCCAAACAGGGAGAGGGTGGTGTTGTGGGCACCGTAGCCTAGAGGCTCTAGGGTGGGGGTAAGGAGGGTTGCTGAGTGAGTCAGCCCACTGGTATGTGTACCTGGTGGGGGAGGGATGTCAGCTGTCCCAGCAGGTGAGTTTGTGTGCTCTCCCTGCTTAGGATCTGGGAGCCGAGCTGTCTGCTCGCCTTGTTTATCTCCAAGGATAAGGGCAAAGTGGGGGCCGGGGCTCCTCCTCTTTCCTCCTGGGACTGAGCAGTTCTCTGGCTCAGGGTCCCTCCAGAGACCTTCGTTCCCCATTCTCGCCACCAGCTGTTCTGGCCAGGTGGGGCTCCAGGGCAGCGATGGGTCATGACTGATAACCTCTGCTAGCGCTTTACAGTTCACCGATTGCTGTGCCACCCAGCCTCTCACTTAGGCCTCATGATAACCACCTTTGACAAGGGTGCTATTAGTAGTCACCCCACTTTTTAGATTAGCAAACCGACTCCTGTGTTAAATAACAGGATAACACTGCCCGTAATGGGAGGCCTGGAACTCAACTCCAGGAGGGACTTCTAAAAGCCTCGTGCTGTTTTTCATACAAGACCACCTTTCTAGAAGAAACCTGTCTCTGACCCAAGACAGCCCAGCAGATAACAGAACCAGAGACCTGGGACCCAGCGGCCAGGACTGGGCTGGGGCTGACTCTGGGGCTGGACTCAATTCTGGAAAGTGGAGAAGGAGCTTCCCTCTCCAGCCTTTGCCTGGGCCATCCTCTCTCCCAGGCGAAGGCTTGCTCTTCTCCCTCTCCTTCGAGTAGCTCTCCTGGATCTCTGAGGAGAGGTGTGATGAGGACTCTAGGAGGGGGGCTCCATCTTAAGGCCAGGCTGGGCCACCAAGTCCCACTGAGCCAGAGCCTGAGCCTGTTCCACAAGGAAGTAGCAGAGCGTGTAGGTGGTGACGACTCTTAATTGACCTCAGCTCCCTTGCTGCTCTGATGGAGGCCCCATGGGAGTCCCACTCCAGGGCCAGCGCCTGGAACTCTGGGGTCTGGTCAGGGAGCTGAGCTGGACCGGGTCACATGGTTTTGGGACCAGCCTTCCTTATCTGGAAACCTCAGCCTGCTCCTAGATTAGCCTGTTTGGCACAAGACAGGGTGGACGGGGATTTCCTGGGGCATTTAGGGAGCTGGGTAGGGCTTTGACTGAGTATGAGCTCCAGGCCATTTTCAGGGCGCTGCTGCAATGCTTTGGGGAGTGGGGGAAGCTGTGTGTGTGTTAAGGAGTCCATTCTCAGCTGAGAGTTTGGAGGTGGATAAGAGAAGGATCAAGCCATTAGAGCATCCTGGAGGTGAGGGTAGGTGGAGCAGGCAAGGTGGGCGGGGGTGCTTAGGCCTTCTAAACCTTTCTCTTTTTTTGGTGAGGAAGATTGTCCCTGAGCTAACATCTGTGCCAGTCTTCCTCTATTTTGTGTGTGAGATGCTGCCACAGCACGGCCACTGATGAGTGGTGTAGATCGAGTGAGTGGTGTAGATCTGCACCTGGGAAGTGAACCTGGCTGTGGAAGAACAGCACACTGACTTAACCACCGCACCACCAGGCCAACCCCCAAACCTGTGATTCTTGTACTGGGTAGAGAGAAACCCTCCCCAGAGTGAGTTAATTTGTTCACCTTCCCCTGCCTGTGGCCAGTCCAATCCAGATTCCTGCGGCCACCTGAGCACCCTGCTCCTTCCTCCATCGCCCTCCAGCCCCCTCCATCCCCCTCCTCAGCTCTCCCCCTCTTTCCCTTCGAGGAGTGCCTTGGGAGGTGGAGTCTGTGTTTCCCTGGAGATATCCTAAGGCCTAGCCTCTGGGGCAGAGGCTGGTTTTATTGCCATTCTAGCCCTTTGCTCTCTTAGGGGTGGGAAGCAGGGAGTGGTAGGGCAGGGCCTGTGCCCCTTGCTCCTGAAGACTGGGGCCTGGACAGGACGGCTGTGTGTGGGTGGACTTCACTGATTTGGCTGAAGGTCTGACACATCGCTCTGGCTGCCGCTTCCACCCTGGGGGCTAGTGGGGCTAGCCTGCCTGTCTGCCAGGGAGACTGCCAAGGAGTCTGTCTCCTGTCTCCTTTCTCCTTTTAAACGGCTGATCGCTTTCTGCAAATGCAAGGAGAGAGGAACGGGCTCCTCCCAGCTCCTTGCCCCCTTGTCCCGGAGCCCTGTTGGCCTCCTCCTGATCTCCAGCCAAGCCACTGGGCTGAGGGATGGTTCCAGACAGGCACTTTCCTTTCCTGCTCTCCTGGTCTTATTTCCCCTCAGCTCCTGGAACCCAGATCCTTTTTCTCTTTCTCCTAGGCCTCTGCACCATTTGACATGTTTCTCTGTGGCAGCTCTCCCCTCCCATCCTTTTGCTGTCACTGTGTGTCCTGGTCTTCTCACCCATGGGACCACCCTCTGTGAGTCCCACAATGGCTCTGCTTTCTCTGCCTCCTCAAAGGGGAATCTCTATGACTCAGCCTCGTGTCAGCCTTCTTATCTTTTCCCTTCTCTTCTTCCGTTGAACTCTCTTACCCTTGATGTAACCCTCCATAAGGCCTCTCTGGAGTGCAGTTTGGTAACGTTCATCCAAAGTGTAAGTGCACAACCTTCCACGCAATTCCACTTGTAGGAATTCATCTTGTGACTATACTTATACGTGTGTGAAGCAACTTACCAGCCAGTTATTCACTGTAGTGTTGTTTATAATAGCAAAGGATTGGAAACGATCTCGATGTCTGTCAACATCTTATAATTGGATACTGTGAGCCTGTTTTAATAATAATCATAATAAACCCTGAGGCAGCATGGTTTAGTTCTTTAAAAAAATTTTTTTTATTGGTGCAGGATAGTGCCTTTTTGTTTTTTTCTGAGGAAGATTTGCCCTGAACTAACATCTGTGCCAGTCTTTCCTATGTTTTGTATGAGGGTCACTGCCACAGCCTGGCCACTGAGAAGTGGTGTAGGTACATGCCCAGGAACTGAACCCGGGCCACCAATGCAGAGCCTCTAAATTAAGAGGAGATTGGTAGACTGGTTAATTAAGTTGTAAATTATAGTGCATTCATACAATGAGTACTCTTCAAAAGAAAAGAAAAGAAACTCTTTGTGTTGTCATGGAATGATTTCTAAAATATATTATGGGAAAAATAAGAAGAACCTGCATGCTTATGAATTCAATACTCTGGATAGTCACACACATAAACCAGTTAAAGAATGGAGTGCCTCTGGAGAGAGGAACCTGGGGGATTACGGAGAAGAGGCGACTTAATTCTCACTGCCCTTTTGTGTTTTTTGAAGTTTATATTATGTATATGTATTACCTAAGCTAAAAACAACAAAACCACAAGATTATAAAAGCTATCAAAATCACACCTCTGGGCAGGTGGTGACCTGCAGCGTGGTGTTTTGGAAAGAGCATGAGCTATAGAGTCAGACCAGGGTTCAAATCCCAGCTCAGCTGTTTAGAAGCTGAGCGATCCTGGACAAGTTATTTAACCTCTCTGATGTCAATGTTCTTCTCTGGAAAGGGGTGAGAACACCGTTGTGGCATCGTGGTTAGAAAGCAAGTTAATGTAGGTCAGGGGTCATCAAACTTTCTGTGAAAGTTCAAATGGTAAATATTTTGGGTTTTGTGGGCCATGCAGTCTCTGTCAGAACTATTCAGTTCTGCTGTTGTCACATGAAAGCAGCCGTACACAGTATGTAAATGAATAGGCGAGGCTGTCTTCCAATTTACAGACAAAATTTGATTTTTACGTACTTTTCACGTCATGAAATATTATTCTTTGGATTTTTTTCAGCCATTTAGAAGTGTAACAGGTGGTGGGCTGGATTTGGCTTGTGGGCCATAGTTTGCCAACCCTTGACGTAGATGATGCAGGTAACGTACCTACGTGATGCCAGGCACACACTCAGTGAGTGGCAGCTTTGTTAATAAGTATGACTCCAGATCCATCTCCCGTCCTCGCCTCTCTGGAGCGCCCTCTGCGCACCGCCCCTCTGGATGGTCTTCTCTCCCTCAAGTTCAGCTTCTCTGTGATTGAACCCACGAGTTCCCTCTGCATCTGGTTTCCCTTCTGCCTGGGCTCTGGCTCTTCCTCCCCAGTTCCCAGAGTCTGTCATGCATGGAAACCTGAAGCGTCTGCTCAGCATTGTTCCCACATCCGCCTTAGCTGTCAGGCCCTTGATTCAGACCGCTCCTGTTACATCTGCCCTGAACCGCTGACTGGTCCACTCGTCTCCTCACTCCATAGAAATAATTCCAAACAGTTGCATAAACAGCCCTACCTGGAGCTCAGCACTGTCGCTGCTGTCCAGGCCCTTGGCCCTCCCTTAGGACTCCTGGACCTCGAGCATGCATCTAGGAGGTCAATGTCTGGTGCAGCCAGGGCTTCCAGAACTCTGCACCACTGCTCGTGGCTAGTGTGTGTCCCCTTCCTATACTGCCAGTTGTTAAATATTTGAATGTCACTCCTGCTGTGTCCACATGCCCTGGCCTGGCATCCAGGGCCCTTTGGGGTCTCTCTGAGCCCAGCTGGTTTTCTTAATGTCTGCCAAACCAGCTTTGCAAATTCCCAGCTCCTTGCTTTGGCTCCTCATGTTTTCTGCTGTCACCAACAACACAGCACATTCTTCCCCGCCACCAAACAAAAACAAAATAAAAGAATCAAAAACTCCTTTCTCCTTTCTTCAGAAAGCCTTGACTTATTCCTGTAGCCTGCTGTGGCCTCTCCCTTCTCTGAATGTCCTCTTCCTTGTCTTGTACACGTACCATGTATCACTTCTGGCTGGGTCTTTTCTCCCATGTGTTTCATGTTGTTAGGTCTTATCTGTAGTCTCCTCAAGGGCAGTATATTAATCTTCTATGGCTGCTTTAACAAATTACGACAAACTGAGTGACTTAAAACAACAGAAATTCATTGTCTCACAGTTCTAGAGGCCAGAAGTCCAAAATCAAGGTGTGAGCAGGGCCACACTCCCTCTGAAGACCCTAGGGAGAATCCATCCTTGCCTCTTCAGCCGCCTCATAACTGGAGGCAGGATCTGTCTGAGGTGGCAGAGACACCCTCTTCCTGTAGCCACTCACCCTGGGACCCTAAGACCTGCCACATTGCTGGCCAGGGACGCTGAGCTTAAGGTCTCTACTAGGATGGGCATCTCAGAAACCAGCCAGCAGACTGATGGGTGGTAGGTGTTAGTCACACATTTACTTATTTGGCTTTCCAAAAATAATGTTACTTTAACTTTTTAAAGTAATTGGCACAAGACCTGCTTACTGTAGAAGATAGGAATAATCCCCCCGATATATATATATTTATGTATATATTTCCTAAATAGGATCAGATGGCACATGCTACTCAGTCATTTGTTTCAGAATGTGAGTTTAACAACATAAAAATGTCTTCAATATACCAAAGACATAATATATCTAAAGAGAGAGCAAGAAGATGGTTGAGTGGTGAGCTCTTGCCTGCACCCCATGCGGACTGCCCAGGCTTAGGCTGGTCTAGGGGTGGCCCATCCTTCCCCCAGTGCCAGGAGAGAGCTGGTCCATCCAGTGAGAGTTGACCTTGCTTCCCCCTCCCCCAGGGTCCGGGATCCCCAGGATCTGGGCAGGCGTGGACTTGAAGGTGCAGCCCCAGGAACCCCTGGTGCTGAAGGGTGTGGGGACCACAGATTGGCACCTACTGCAGGGTGACACGGACGTCAGGGTAGAGGTGAGACACTGGGCTGGCTCCCTGACCCCCTCCTCAGCTCTCCAGACCCCCCTTTCTGGGGCCACAGACCAACCAGTGGCTCTAGGTGGGGTGGGGTGGATAGAAGCCGAGGATGCATTTAATACCAAGTCCCTCTGCTCTCCCTAGGGGAGGTGTGTGGCTGGGAGGGCCTGGGACAGCCCAAGGGCGTCAGGGGGTTGCAGCCTGATGGCCACTCCTATATACAGAAGAATGATCTGGACCAAGTGGAGCTGTGGGGACTCAAGGAGGGCGCCTACCTGTTCCAGCTGAGAGCTGGCTCAGACCAGCCAGACAGCACGACCAACATCACCATCACCGTGCTGTCCGCCAAGCAGACAGAAGGTGAGGGAGGGGGCGAGGAGGCAGCACCTGGAGTAACCCCCTCTGTTGATTGGCCCTGCAGGCACCTCTCATAAGCCTTCCTCCCCCTAGAATATTGCCTCGCATCTAGCAAGGTGGGGCGCTGCCGTGGTTCCTTCCCCCGCTGGTACTACGACCCCACAGAACAGATCTGCAAGAGTTTCGTTTATGGAGGTTGCTTGGGCAACAAGAACAACTACCTTCGGGAAGAAGAGTGCAAGCTGGCCTGCCGCGATGTGCAAGGTGGGCCTTTGCGGGGCAGCTTTGGGGCTCAGGTGACTTTCCCCCAGGGTGAGTTGTCTGCCTACACCGGTCAGGGAGGTGGGCATGGGAGTCCTCCCTTCACAGACCCCCATTCCCCCGGTCAGCTCATCCCTGCTGGGGCCTGGCCCTGCCTCCTCTCACTTCTCTGTCTTCTCCTTCCCAGGTCCATCCGTGGAAAGGCACCATCCAGGTGGGCTTTGTTCCTTTCCGTTCCCCTCATCCCTGCCACATCACATCCGTGCCCCTGACCCAGCTGCTTTTGCCCGAGTCATTCCTCCCTTCATAGGATGTGGAAGGACCACAAAGGCCCCACCCCTCGCTGCCCAGCATCCTCCTCTCCTCCCAGTTTGTGTGTTGGAAGGCTCAGGACGGGGAGGGCAGGAGGGGAACAAGGACGTGTCATGATGCTGTGTGGGGGTAGAGAGAGCCAGGTACATGATGGCCCTTTGGTACCTGCTGGTCTCTTCTCGAGCCTGACCTCACCCCCCCGCCCCGCCCCACCCAGTGTGCTCAGGCACCTGTCCCTCCACCAAGTTCCGCTGCAGCGATGGCTGTTGCATCGACAGCTTCTTGGAGTGTGACGACACTCCCGACTGCCCCGATGCCTCCGATGAGGCCACCTGTGACAAATGTGAGGCCTGGGAGATGGCGGGGCAGGAGGGCAGCAGAGGGGAGGTCCCGAACTTTCACCCTGCACCCCTGGGAGACCCTCATTGGGCCTGTGCCTCTGATCTCTCATCTTTGCAGACACCAGCGGCTTCGAGGAGCTCCAGAACATCCATTTCCGCAGTGACAAAGGTAAGGTCCTCCCCAGGGCCCTGGGTCAGGGCCAATGCCGGCACTGCCATCCTCACTCATCCCATCAGCGTGCCGAGGAGCCTGCTGTGTGTGCCTGGCTGGGGGCGGAGAGAGCTGGGGGGCTCCTGAGCTCCTTTGGCTCTGTTTCCCAAACGTCAGTCATCCTCTTCACACCTTCAGAAATTTAGCCATGCCCACGTATTGCTGAGGTGTTCTTTACTTCATGTTTTTTCTATAATCAATTAGTTTTTTAACTTAATGTACTAAAAGGGAAATTTGACATCACTCCCATCAATGGAAAGCCACTGTTCCATGCCACAAATTGAGATCGACTATTAAAATAAGTATAATAAAACAAGGGTAATCAATTTTAGCTGGACGTTGTTGCCGCTGAGGCTCAGAGCCCGAGCCTTCTTTGTTAAGAGGTAGGCCGTCCAGGGCTGGAGTGGAAACCGAGACCTTGACACAATGAGAGAAGCTGAAAGAAAATTGAAAAAGAAATAGTTCTGTGAGTCGGTGTAGTTACTTCTGTACTTGAACTATGACCCAGGATTTGTCTTCCATGCTTTTGGCAACACTTTACATGGGCCAGATGTTTCTGGGGCTCTGAGGCCCTCACTGAGTCATAGCCGTCCTTGGCATAAGATGGGTCGGGAGGTGGCAGGCAGCAACCATGTGGAGCCTAGTGGACGGTGGCAGGGAGGCCCTGGGGACTCACTCACCCCTCTGCCTGCTCCTCACCCCCCAGGGCACTGCGTGGACCTGCCGGACACAGGCCTCTGCTTGGAGAGCATCCCACGCTGGTACTACAACCCCTTCAGTGAACGCTGCGCCCGCTTTACCTATGGCGGTTGTTATGGCAACAAGAACAACTTTGAGGAGGAGCAGCAGTGCCTTGAGTCCTGCCGTGGCATCTCCAGTGAGCAGGGCAGTGGGAGGTGGAAGATGGGAGGGTCAAGGCTTTGCTAGGGTGTTCTGCTCTCTCCCAAAGCCTGGGCTGGTCACGCCTTGTCCTCAGCACCTGGAGTAGGGGCTAGAGAGGATGGCAGGGTAGGGGGAGCCTGGAGCACCAGAGAGCAACTGACTCAGAGCCCTTAGTATTGACTTGTCTCTTTCCCCATCATTTTGTAGAGAAGGATGTATTTGGTCTGCGGCGGGAAAGCCACATTCCCAGCGTAGGTAAGCCTTGGTCTGCCCTGTCTCCAGTGAATAGGTATCAACTCAAGGATCAACTCCACTCACTTGGTTGTCACTGCCTAAACCTGTGTTGAGAAGGATCCTAAGGTTGACTAAAGTGACAGAGTACCACAATCAATAATTATTGTTACCTGCCATGGGCCAGGGAGGGGAGCATGGTAAAGTGCATGGAAGATGTTTGCCATCAGAGTCTCAGGCCTTTCCCCACACCACCTGCAAGGAAAGCAACCTGGAGCTGAGACCTGAGGCCCATAAGCATCCCTCCCACTGAGCTCCGCATGGAGCCACTCAGCTCTCATGTGCTCGAGGTCCTTCCACACCTGGCATCCATTGGACTTGATCCCTTCAGTATAGAATGGGGGTGGGCATCAGAACTGAGAAGGCCCCGGGAGCTCATTTGGCCCCTTCTTCCCCCAGGCTCCGTGGAGGTTGCCGTTGCAGTGCTCTTAGTCACCTGCATTGTGGTGGTGGTAGCCATCCTGGGTTACTGCTTCATCAAGAACCAGAGAAAGAGCTTCCACAGACACCACCACCGCCGCCCTCCGCCTCCTACCCCCACCAGCTCCACAGTCTCCACCACCGAGGACACAGAGCACCTGGTCTATAACCACACGACCCGACCCCTCTGAGCTGGAGTTGCCTTGGCCCTTCGGCCTGGGGCTCTCGCCAGCTCTCACCTGGCCCTGCTTCCTCCTTGCCTAGGTGGAGGCTGGGCTGGGGAAGACTTTGGGACTAGACTCCTCTAGCCTGTTTCCCGGGACCATTCTGCCTCAGAGGCCAGGGCTCCAGCCCCACCTGAAGGTGTCTCAGCTGTGCTCAGGCCGTTTGCTCCTGAGGAAGCTCAAGGGTCCAAGAGGAGCAGAAAACCTTTGAGTCAGGAGTCCCACACACAGATGGACCTCTCTGCCTAGGATTTTGGAGGAAGTCGGAGTTTGATTCCTGTTCAGAGCTGCCTGCCCTGACCCCATGGCGTTGGGAAGGGGCCTGGGGCTGTGTTGGAAGTTGGAGGCCCCAACCCAGTCCTCCTGAGCTGCCCCTCCCACTCTGCCCAGTCCAGAGCTGGGGGGAGGGACCTCCATATTTTGTGCTGTACAGAGTTGCTTTTTGGTTATTTAATGCTGTGGGGGTGGGTGAGAGGAGTGGAAAGTGCTGGTCTGGCCTCTGCCGCTTCTCCTTTCCCCAAGAGTGGGCCCCAGCCTGGCCTGGCCTGGCTCACAGGGCCAGATCCATGGCATCCTCCTGGCACCCTCCAGGGCTCCCCTACTTCCCACAGGCCCAAGTCCACGCATAGTGTAATAAATGGTTTGTCCTGTGAGCCTTCTGCCTCTGCTCTGTGGGCCAGGAGAGGGACAGGGCCGCTGGGGGGAGATGGGACCGCCCTGTCCAACCGGTTCAGGCTTTGGCCACCCTGTTTAGCAGGTTTTCCTACCCTCCCTGAAACTGCCCCAGCCCCTGAGGGTAGAGGGAAGCGCCAAGTTTGACCACCAGAGGGAAGGGGAGAGGAGGGGAAGGGTGAGATGCCATGGGAGCCCGGGCCGGGCCTCTGGAGGCTGCAGTGCTCTGCTGAGCCTTCTTTCTCCCTATCTGAGCCTGTCAACAAGCCTGGCCAGGAGCTGGGACGTCTTCACTGCAGTGTGTCATTGAGGCCTGGGGGGAGGGAGGTTCTTATCTCCACTCCCTACAGTCCCATCTGGCCCGGGTCACCATCTCCCTTGCTCACCCACAGAAGCTGTTGCTTCTTCACAGGACTGCGGCTGCCCCCAGGCTCTGCGCTCCTGCCCAGGGCCTTCAGCGGAGGTCCGCCACTGATCCACACCCCTCCATTGGTTTGAGCCACCAAAGTCATACTTTCAATTCATTTCTTCATTTCTTAAACAAATTATTAAGTTCCTATTTACCAGGTCCCGCCAATAGTTAGAAATTCAGTATTGTCACGATGAGCACAGAGGAAGCACCCTGTAAGTGCTGTATGGACCTCAAGTGACTGCCTCGGTCCACAACCTGTGATAAAGGTGCTATCTTCATCTCCATTTCACAGGTGGGGAGACTGACTCAGTGGGGTTGAGTTCGCATGGTCGTAGAGCTGGTATGGGAGGACCAGATTCAAACCCTAACATTATGGCTCCAGAGAGTCTTACAAAAGGGATACTTTTAAATGGTGATAAGTGCTGTGCAGAAAAATAAAATGGCCATGTGAGAGACTGGGGGCTACTTTGTGCAACCAAGGTGAGTGTACGCATATGAGTCATAAGTGTGCTTTTCTGGAACTGCACACGCCCAGGAGGCAGGCACCCAGATCAAGAAGCAGAACCTTACTGACACCCCAGGATGGACCTCCTTTTGACGAGTAACCTGCTAATACCTCTGTGTTTTTGTACCTGTTGTACCGTCAGCCCAGACCACCCTCCCTTTCTCATCTTTCAGCCTCAGCTCAGGTTTTTGTTCAGGAAATGCTACCACACACATCAAGGCAGGGGCACTCCCTGCTCTGCAGCCCTGTGTGTGCTAACAGGACCCTGAGCACAGAGCGCTCCCTTTTCCATTTACTTACTTGTTTTCCCTCCCGGTTATGAGCTCCTGGAAACATGGATGGCATCTCAGTCATCTCTGAGTCTCCAGTCCCCCATGCTCGCTCTATGACTTTAGTAAATGGCAGTGGTTCCCTAAGTGTTAAGTGGATGGGGGGTGGGGATGGGAGCTGGTTGCTGTGCTTTGGCTGTTCCCGTTGCATAGGGCACTGTATTTTTGCTTTCTACTTTGCCAGCCGCTCATCTGTCCTTCAAGGGTCAAACCAGGCTCCCTCCCTCGTCTGGTCCCCCAACACTGGGAACCGACCCCCTCATCCGCTGGTTCTCTGAGCCCTTCAGGACGAGGTTAATGACTCCTTAAATTCTGTATCCCGATGCCTACAACAGTGATCAACACAGAATAAATGCTTAATAAGTGTTGGACCGAAGACCATCCTCCTCTCAGGGAGGGGTGGAGAGGAAGGGGGACGCTGCCAAGCAAAGCGCCACCCGGAGCGAGAGCCGCTGGGGTGGAGGCGGGGCACAGGGGCGTCAGCTATGGCGACTGGAGGTGGGATCGCGCAGGGGCCGCTAGGGGGCACTCTTAGCACTACTGGGCGCTGTGCTCTCGCTGCAAGGGTTTGGACAGAGTACACTAGTCCCAGGCAGGTGGCAGGTGTGAAGCAATGAAAGCTGAGACGCAGCCCCTGAGCTCCTGGAGCTCCAGAGCGCAGGCGGCGGGATGCAAATACTGTAACAAAACAATTTGGTCCCCAAACTGCTCCTTATCTCTCTCTGTGTCTTCCCCATCCCCGCTCTGCTCCATCCCCACCCAAATTATTCCCTTTCTCAGAACTTTCACGCCTCCATTCCCTTACATAGACAGTTGCCTCCACCTCAGATGCCCCTTTGCCCCTGGAAAGCTCCTACTTACCCCGTTGATCCAGCTCAAAAAGCCTTCCCTGTTTCCCCAGCCAAAGTTCACTGCTGCCCGCTCCATTCTCTCCTGCTGTACATGGCTCTGCTTCGTACGTATGGCCCACGTTAGTACATGTCTGCCCTCATCTGCTTCATGTCCTCCATGTGGGGGCCCTCTTGTGGATAGAGGTATCCAACAAGTGGCTGTTGAATAAAGCAGGGGGTGGTTAAACTATTAAGAAGGAGGTTGAGAAATGGCTTCATGAAGGAGGTATAAAATGAGATGAGCAGGTAGGTGTGGGTGTTCCAGGCATAACAAAATCATAGTGAGCAAAAGCTGGGCAGTGGAGATCCTGGGTCTTGTTTTGTGTGGGAAGCAGTGAGCCGCTCAGTTTGGTTCAAGCATTGAGAGGGAAAGCTGGGGGGTTGGTGGGCAGAGGCCACGTTGGTGGGCACTTGGGGATTTGAACAGGGAAAGGAGTGGTCCAAACTCAGCTTTAAGGAGTAGAGAGTAAGGAGGCCATATCACTAGAGGTTGCACCACAGGGAGAGGGAAGAAGGGAGGAAGCCACAACAAGTAAACCAGGCAGAATAACCTGCATGAAGTACAGATAGAAGTGCAGAGAAGGCTAGTTGAAAGCTTGCACGCTGGCAGCCTGCAATTATGCTTTGGCTTAAACAGCAGTTAAATTTCTTTAATTAGTTATCAACAAAGAGTCAGGAAACTTCATTTTTAAAAAATGCATATTTCTAGCTTCTGGAGGAAACCCGGGGAACTGTCCATTTGTGGCCCACATTGCTGCAGGAATGCAGGCGCTGAGTTCCAGTCCTCTTGAGCTGGGCGGGCGCTAACCAGTCCACAGCCGCCATCCAGCCTGCCGTTCCCAGGGGCCTCCAGGCATTTAACTGTGGGACCTTCATCATCTTATCCCTTATAGCCCATCCTGCCTTCCCTATGTTGGGGAGTTTTCTCCGAAACTTACTGGTCTCAACAGTTCAAATAAACAATGACAAAAACTAAGCTGTTTCTCCCAAACCGATCCCTGCCCACTTAAACAAACAGCCCTGAATGAGCAGTGGTTTGCCCTATTGCACAAGACCACTCCCTTCCCCACCCAACCGCAGCTAGTCTGAAGCCTGGGAAGACACTTTCAGCTCCCCCCCCCCCCCCAAAGGGGTGGTTGTCAATAGTGCTACCTGGAAGCCCTGAACCCGGAAGCCCGGCTTCAGCCCAGGGGATGGCCCAAACTTTCCCACAGGTTCTCTAGGAGCGCCTGCCTCTCCTTGCTCCAGTCTGCCATGGCTCCTGGGGGTTCTAGCAGCAGAGCCCAGAACCTGAAAGACCAAGACAATAGACTGGGAAAGAAATGAAGAGGCCCCTTGTCGTGGGGCTAAAAAAAAAAAAAGGCTATATATTTAGAAAAACAAAAAAAGATATTTCCCCAAATGTCCATAGTGTTATCTCATTGATGAAATTATAGGTGGTTTTCGTTTTCTTCTTTTTGTCAAGCTGCCTTCTCTAAATTTTCTACAATGAATATCTATTGCTTTTGTAATAAGAAAAAGTTGTGAGTTTAAAAAACAAAAAGTATTCAGATGTATTTCAGAAAGAAACAAATCATCAGACCATGAAGCGCTGAGATGGGATAGAGACAGTGTGGATGGAACAGAGCAGAGGCTGCTGGAGATCTGGGGAAGGGGGAAACTCCGAGACTTACTAACTCGATTATGCAGAGGGAGAACCTGAGGCAGCGGAGGCTTCAGGTTTTCTGTCCTGGGAGCCTGGATGGGTGGCAGTGCCATCGACAGAAACAGGGCCTAGTGGAGGAGGGGCAGCTTTGGGACAACCAGACAGAAGGTGAGGGGTCACCCGGTACCAGATGGAGACTGGTTTTACTGATTTTATTGTGGGTTACTTAGTTTTTGTTTTCTTATGCCTTGCCTTACTGGGGAAAGATTTAAAGGCAGCTTGAAATGGCCTATAAATTATGAGATAACGTAAGTATAAATAAGAACAAGATTAAAAAAAGGAGCAAGAAGGAACATAAAATAGGGCCAGGAATAAGGAATATTTTATGAAAATATATGAGTTTTGTAGTCTTTGGGCCATACAGTTAGTTCTGAGTGTTCCAGCTGCAGGTGCATCCTGTGAGGCCCTGGAGGTGAGGGGTCTTGGTGGGGAGGATGGAGCTCCTGGATTTGGGAGTAGGCTGTGTGAGGGTAAAACAGGAGCGGGGAGATTCCTGAGAGAGAGAAACACAGCGGCCCTCGAAAGGAGAGCAGAAAGCGAGGAGAGCCTCTTCTCAGAGGAAGAGAAAGCAGAGGAGGAGTGGTCAGAGGGGTGGCAGGAGATAGAGGGGAGAGAAGTTTAAAGGTGAGGGGTTTCAAAGCCTGCCAGGGTCAGGAAGGAGGAAGCTGGGGATGAGGAGCTGGCTGACCATCAGGTGTGGTTGAAAGGGCAGTGGTCGTGGAGCAGCCAGGTGGGAACCTAACCAGGGACCAGGGCTGGGAGCAGAGTCAGGGTGGAGGCTGCTGTAGGTGTAGTGGGAAGAGTGAAGAGGCGGTGTCGTCGCACGGAGAGCTGGAGGAGGAGGAGAGGCCTGTGCTGGGTTTTAGGCATGCAGGGAGAGGCTGAAGGTCCAGGGGGAACCAAACACTGATGGAGTACAAGAGATTACGTTGTGGACCCACCAACTCACTTGGGGTTGTCTTCCCAGTAGATTTTCTCTGACGCATTTACTTTCTCCCCAGTGGTCCTCTTTGCAACCAGTTTATGACCTTGGGTTACCAGGCTGACCAGGGTTACTCTGTGGCCCCCAAGGAGGGTGTTCATAGTAGCCTATGAAAAGCAAAGGACTTGGACTAGATGACAAGATCCTTTCTATCCCCAAACCGTGATGTTGGCCTCAGGTTACAAGCTCTAGGACCCTCTGAGTGCAGAGCTGGGGAAGGCTGTCAGAGCCAAGTTGTTGAGGCCTAGAGAAGGGCAGCAACTGGCCCAAGGCCATACAGCCAGTGACTGGGGACAGAGCTAGGCTAGGAAGTTTCTGAGCCCCAAACTTTTTGCTCTGATGTCTCATCTTTAGTCGACTAGACTCCTGGCTTCAGCTTCTGTCCTTTCTCTGGAAATGGGACAAAGGAAGCAGGAGCCAGGCCAAGAAACTGTCAGGGCTGGTCCCAAACCCCAGGAGGCTGGAAACCCCAGGTCCACACCCATGTAAACAGAGGCCAGCACTGATACCTCCTACTTGGCTCTCAAGATAGCTTCCTCTAAAGCAGTTCCCGCTATTATCTTGCATATCCCTGCAGGCCCCCTGGGAGCCAGGGAGGGGCAGAGAATATTAGCCCTCCTTCACAAGTGGGAGACACTGAGAGGAGGAGGAAGGCTGTAATTTGCCCAAAGTAGCCCAGCCAGTCGGGGATGGGGCTGGCACAGGAGGCCCGTGGGAGATGGGGTGGTCAGCAGAGCACATGACCTGCTGGGAGGTGCCATGGGTAGAAAAATGGACACAGCCGCAGGAATTGAGAGTCCCCTGTCTTAGCATAAGAGTGATCTCGCCATCCCTGGAGGGAGACATCTGGAGAGAGGCTCTGCTTGCTCCCCAACTGGTGCAGGGTACTGGGGAGGGAGAGAAGACGAGCAGAGGCAGTGAACAGGGCCACAGAGAATATAGGTCCAAGGGAGGAAGCAATGGCAGCTCAGGTGTTGCTGGGCGAGTCCGTGCTGCCTGCTTTTCTGCCAGCTTCAAAGGGCCCCAGGGAACCCCTAGACCC